CATAAAGACTTTTACAGGAAATTATCTACACTTTCAGGTCCCATGGATGAAGTCCTGAAAATCTCTACCAGGTAACTGCCCATACGAGACGTTTATATGCTGTGATATTTTCCATGATCTCCTCGTTTTTAAAAAGAAAGTGACAGAGCCATCCTGTAACAGCTGCATTTGTTATCATTTGGACAAATGAAGAGAAATAATAATAATAAAGGTTTTTTAAACTTCATTTTATGACGCAAAGATGTTTTTAGGTAATATTGAAGAAATATTTTACTCGATTCGTTTAGATTATCAATAATTAAGCCAGAGAAATGAGTTTATCACAAGTTGATTAAAGATGACTCAGTATTTCTCTTAACATGATTGAAATACTAAAGCATTCTCCTTTTTCTTCAATGGCAACAATTTGGTGAACTAAGACAGTTTGCATGCTGGTTGATTTCGAGAGACAAGAGATGTTTTCGATTCCTTCTATTAGCTCACACTCTCCCTATATATATATATCTTGTTCAAATTTTTAATCGTTCATAAAATACTTTTTATTAATCCACTCAAGTTCAAATACATTTTTTGAAACTTGTTGTGGATGACACTGGTGTTAATACAGTTTTTTCAAATATTAATTCATTCATTAAATTTAATTAATCAATTATAGTTTTTTTAGATTTAAGTTGCATATATCAACCAATAGATGGCGCCAGATAAACTTAAAAAATAAATGAAGATTATTTATAAAGGACTTTCTGTAATCTAGTGAAAAAAAAAGTAGGAACTTAGTAGGAATTAAGTAGGTAGTTTACTTTAAATTTTTTTTATATTACTTGTTGTTTTGGGAAAGGATAGTCAGCTGTATGTCCTACAGTCATATTAGACATCAACCAATGGTTTTAAAAAGTGGATTCCGGAAACCACTACAAACATCTATGGCACAGCCGGGACTCGACCCCAAGTTTTTGTGACTTCATGTGCCAGAATGCTTGTCATTTTGGTCATCAAACCTTAACTTAAGTATTAGTTCCCATACAAAGTTTCAATGCGAACTTTTAAAGTTGATCGATCAAGTTAATACTTCATCAAAATAAAAATACACTTTCATCATCTATACAGTTGATCCAGACCAAGTCAACAACTGTTAAAATTTACTAAATTTCACGTTTGTCACTTTTTACATTGACATCACCATTCATATCTGTCTGTGACTGACGCAGATTAAAATTCAGAGACAAAAACTTTCTGTAAGACTAAAAAAAAGATAAAAGAAATGAAAAAGATGAGAAAACGAATAACGGAAGGTATGAAATAAAATATGGAGTAGAAAGGAATTGGAAAGGAAAAAAAGGAGGGGTGGGGAAGATGGGCTGGAAAAAGCATTCCACACTTAGAAGAATAAAATATTACCGAATGAAAAAGAGGACTTAAAACATTTCTGAGAGAAGAGAAATAAAAATAAAAAAATAAGAAAAAACGAGAAAGAATTTCAATATCTTGGCATAAAAAATCCCTCCCCAGCACAAATAAAAAAGCAAAATAAGATAAAAGGGTCAACAGTCATAAAAACAAATTGTAACACAATACATTTCGAATGAGCGTCATTCGAAAGGGAAGGGTTGCAGATGGCATTCTCAATTTCTAATTTCTTGTTGAGTTTCGGCACCTTTTAACATAGAAAACTGTTTGTTTTCATAAATGGTAAATCTCTGTTTGAAACATAACACAAAAGGAGAGTTATAATTTTGTCATGTGACAACTTTGACATTATGTCACCTCAAAATCGACGGTTTACTTTAAATTTTTTGGTTAATTTTGTTGTTTTCAAAATCTAGGGCAATGACCTGAGAGCTTTCTACTAGCATGGCAATTATATAGTGTATACAACTTTACATAAAGCCATGATTAAATGCTATATTACATCTACAATATACTATCATATAATATGCATCATATACTGTCGTGGCATGTACTCTACTCTACTGGCATGAGTTATCACAAGATGATGAAAGATGGCTTAATAATTGTAATAGCATGGTAGAAAACTAAGGGAGGCTTCCCTTTTTTTCTTCATTGGCGCAACATTCATTTTCACCGATGCGGGACTCGAAGCCGAAACCTGTGTCACCTAAGGGGGTCAAAGTACTCAGTCACTCTTCGCCCATCAGCTCCAACTTAAAGATTAGGTCTCCACTAAGAAAACAAATGTTATCAATGGCCGTTGATGAGTTAATTATTAATGAAACTCCATGATCAAATAAACACACAATATTTATCAGTGTATCTATATAGTTGATCCAGTCCATCAAATCAACAACTGTTGTAAATTTACTTAACTCTTATATTTTGCCTATTTATTTACATCATTCAATAGACTATCTGTGGCTATGACTGACACAGACTTAGTAAATTAGAGGCAAACTGTAAAACTGAGAAATAAAAGAAATGAAAAGATAAGAAAACGAATAACGGAAGGTATGAAATAAAATATGGAGTAGAAAGGAATTGGAAGGGAATAGTAGGGGAGGGATGGCAGGAAAAGCATTCCATTTAGAAGAATAAAATATTACCGAATGAAAAAGAGGACTTAAAACATTTCTGAGAGAAGAGAAATAAAAAAAAAAAAGAAAATGAGAAGAATTTCAATATCTTGGCATAAAAAATCCCTCCCAGCACAAATCAAAAAGCAAAATAAGATAAAAGTGTCAGCAGTCATAAAACCAAATTGTAAATACAATACATTTCAGAATGAGCGTCATTCGAAAGGGAAGAGGGGGTTGCAGATGGCATTCTCAATTTCTGTCATTCCTTGTTGAGTTTCGGCACCCTTTAACATAGAAAACGTTATTTTAGAAATGAGTAAACTGGTTGAAACCTAACGTAAAAAGGGAAGTTATAAGCATTGCCACGTGACCACTTTTGACATTATGTCGTTCAAAGGTGATGGTTCATTTTAAAAATGTTTTTTTATATTGTTGTTTTTTTCTATCTCGGCAATGACCTGAGACCTTCTTCTACTAGTATGACAAATATGGCATATGTAACTTTATATAAAATGCATAACAAAAGCTTGTTATATTACTTCTGCACTATACTTCAGATATCATATATAGTATCATTATAAATTTTAAAGATTTGGAAATTTCCCAATCTAAATTGTTATTATTTTCTACGGAACACAATGCATTGCATATTATATATATACAAATTGTTATATATAACGTGAAATGCATAGCGTACGTAAAATTCACATAAGTCTAGTTAATTCAGTGAAAGGGCATATACAGATAACAGAAAAAAAAGGTAAAACATTGAGTGAGTTTGTTTTCATTTCCAATTTTTCTCTTTTTTGAAAGGGAAATTTTCTCTGAAGGAACTAACTATCAAACAAGTTACTATAAAAAAAATTTTAAGTCAATTCCTACTTTTTTTCACTATATTGCAAAAAGTTCGTTAAAAATAATTTTTCATTCCTTTTTTTTTAAAGTTTATCTGGCGCCATCTATCGGTAGATATATACAAATTAAATCTAAAAAAACTAAAATTAATTAATTAATTTTAATTACTGAATGATATTCGAAGAAACTGCATTAACATCATGTCATACACTACAAGTTTAAAAAATGTATTCGAACTTGAGGTGGAGGAATAAAAGTATTTCATGAACGATTGAACATTTGAACAATGATATATATAGTGAGAGCATGAACTAATAGTAGGAATTGAAAAAAAACAAAACAAAAAAACATGAAAGTTATAAAAATGCTATTTTCATTGGCTTGATGTACATATATATATATATATATATATATATATATATATATTGTTTGCAGTCATGAAATATACTTTTATATGTTGTAGTGGTTCCGAATCAATTTAAACCGTATTTTCCTGCTTAACATGACTACAGGACTGACAACCCCAACCCGTAAAAAGAAATCATATCCTTTCTCGAAATCTGCAGTATTCAGATGGCTCTGCTTACCATAGGTTTGTTGCGTCAATGCAGTTGAAGAATATATATATTTTTTTGTGTTTATGGGTAGACAGAGACAGATTTAGGAAGAAGCTAATCAGAGAGAGCACAATATATTGCGAAACCGAAAGCATTTCTTTTCTGTTCTTTGAATAATCTAGTGTGTTTATTTTTTATTCGATTTTAAGTTTAAAGTATATTAATCAATGATAGTGGCTCACTACCATAGAATTACATCAGAATACAAAAAAAATTTAATTGGGACTTGAAACGTATCGTCTCATAAAACTTCCAGAGCATTATGGGCTTCAAAGAAAAAAAGGAGGAAAAAAATCCCTCTCTTAAAATGAAGATGTCCTCTAAGTAAATGAGTCCATTTGTATGATACTCACAAGGACGGCGGATCGCAAAAACTCCCGTAAAGACTCACGGCAGATTAAGAGCTCTCAGTGGCAAAACACGATTTTATATAAACCATAATAATTTTTTTGCAAAGAATATTTATTTTAATATAGATCTCAATGATTTGGAATTTTCACAATTTGATTTTTTTATTTTTTCTATGCACACTACAAATTGAATGTTATATGTAATGTACACAATTGTTGCAGCCTGACTGCGTGAATTGTGAGCGTTCTGGCGCTTTGTTGCTTCAGGTTCGATGCCTGGCGGTATCACAGATGCTTGTTAGTGGTTCGAAATCACGTTATACTAACTATAGTTCCTGGTCTAATTAACACAAATTATGCCAAAATTACCGTAGATTTGGCATATCAAAACCACAATTGTTGTTGTTGTTGTTGTTTCTTATCCCACTTGGCTGGCCCACGAGCCCACTATGATTGAAGGGGAAGGAAGCAGCTTCTGTTCTGATGGAGCACCCGTAGGTAGAAGTCAAACAGTCATAGGAGACCGGGACCTATTAAAGTGGATTCGAACCACTACAAACATACATGGCACCACCGGGACTCGAACCCGAAACCTGTGGTACCGAGCGCCATAAGACACCTATTCAGGTCCCAAATTTGTGAATGCCAACGGCACGCAGTGTTCCCAGGTGGTCACCCGCCCAAGTACCGACACCGCGCTCAATGATGCTTGACTTCGGTGATCTAACGAGAACCGGTATATTCAACATGGCATGGCCGTT